AACATTTGTATGAACTGCTTCGGCTAATACTTCGGCTTTTGTTCTCTTTTTATATCGAGGCTAAGTGCATTGTTCGATGGGGTGATATCATTGCCAAACATGATAGCAAAGAACGTTGATAACAAGAAGGGACAACTCGTTATAATTGTAGCGAAAGTGCGCAACAGGGGCGTGCCTTCCCTTTTGCCCCAGTGCGTTTTCTGATTGGATGAAAAGAGAAGGCACGCCCCTGTTGCGCACTTTCGCCACAATTATAACAAGTTGTCCCTTCTTGTTATCTACGTTCTTTGATGATAGTACTTTGTTTCCCATCAATAAACACTAACTTGACGGAGTTACAGTATACCACATTGATGCGAGCCTCAAAAGCTTTGAAAAATATTTGCGGGTATAGCTTTTAGGTTTTATCGCTCAGGTAGGTGGCAGGCCTATAGAAAATATTTCTTAACCAATAATTTCCCAAATACTTTTCGTTCGACACCTATATTATAATACATACTTTATCTTATTAACTTAATTGAATTAAATTTTCGAAATTGGTGGCAACTCGGTGGCAAATATTTTCAGTAGTAAGCCTTCTTAAACCTTTTTATTTTGATACCCATATTGCAATATTTAATTTATCTTATCAATTTCATTTAATTAAATTTTGAAACAGGTGGCAACCCCTCTCAAAAATATTTTCGCCTATAAGCCTTCATAACCTCTTTCTTTTGACACCCATAGTGCAATATCTAATTTATGTAATTAATTTACTTATATTGAAATTTTCAAACAGGTGGTAACTCTCAAATCGGTCAAGCTGTTTTCGAGTCTTAGCGAGGCTAACGGACAGTAATTCATTTTTATATATAAGATATCTTCTTTTAAAAATGCGCAGGCTCGGAATTGACTTTAGAGCTATGGTCTGGAGGAATTTTTTTCTTAGAATTTTATGAAGAATCCGAATATGCTAGGAACAATGTCGAAAAAAATCGATCCATACAAATTGACCCGCCCTATGGTCAGGGTTCGAGTTCCATTGAAGACAACATGCAAATGAAATATTTTTATTTTGTTTTCATCTTGATTATTTCACTTCACGGATTCGTTTTCAGGACGAACGCGGTCATTTTAATATGCGCGTAATTGAATTGAATATTTACCAATATACAGTACTTTCGTTGACGTTTATAGTAAGATCAACTAGGTTTCTGATTAATTTTAATATTTTTTTCCTTCAGTGTACATTCACCATTTTAAAGCACATGTTAAACATGTTCGGTTTATAAAATGGGATGAAAAATAACGAAGCTGTTAATAGATAAGGTTACTAAGTACGAACATAACGTATGTACATATGTACATACAATTATTAACATACACTCGGACACTCGCAGACAGCTACTCGCCTCGCACTGCGAGCGAGGCAACACACAACAACCTCGCTCGTTTAATAGGAGCGCGAGCAAACAAGCAGCGCTCGCTCGTTTGCCGAGCAAGCCAAACTTCTCGTTCCTCGCCTCATTGCTGCTACGAGTACGAGCTGCGAGCTCCTCGTTGCCTGCGAGGCAGTGAGTAGGAGTTTGCTCGCTCGCTCGCTCGAACTTCGAGTTTTTGCCCACCCTGATAATCAATGATTTTTCAATGAATAGAATAGGTGGCTCCAGAGCCGAGTTATTCCAATTTCCGTATAAGCCTATGAATGCCTGCTTTGGTTTCACCATCTACTATCTATATATTAATACGCTAACGAAATCCCATACAAATCTATTCCTCCCTACTGCTCCTATGAATTATAGAATTATTTAACGGAAAAGATATCACTCCACCTAATACTATTACTTACGTGGACGTTCAAAAGGTTCTCATGGACCTAAAATCGCCACAAACAAAGCGAGGGTGTATGAAAAAGTGAGGTGGTCGAATTTCGACAACGGGGCTTTACTAGTTCTTTTTAAAATGACAACATTGCTTTATTTATTTTTTTAATAAAGTTTTTCTTTATGTGTTTATGTGTTTAAATAATGCTACGATCATCGTTTTAAACTACGTATACTTCATTAAATCTTCATGCTTTATTCAAGGATTTACTTATGTATTTTATTTATGAATATTTATATGTCTGGCTGTAGCTGAGTGCGCAAAGATGATTGCCACAATTTGTTGATATCCAGATATGGTCAGGGTTCGAGTTCCATTGAAGACAACATGCAATTTAAATATTTTTGTTTTGATTTCATCTTGATTATTTCACTTCACGGATGCTTTTTCAGGACGAACGCGTTAATTTTAATATGCGCGTAATTGAATTGAATATTTACCAATATACAGTACTTTCGTTGACGTTTATAGTAAGATCAACTAGGTTTCTGAATAATTTTAATATTTTTTCCTTCAGTGTACATCCACCATTTTAAAGCACATGTTAAACATGTTCGGTTTTTAAAATGGGATGATAAATAACGAAGCTGTTAATAGATAAGTGCATTAAGTACGAACATAACGTTTGTTTGAAAAAAAAACCTTTGTACATACACGTGTCATTATTTCCAAAAAATTATTCAATGTAGCCATGACGTGCCAAAAACCTCTTTGACTCCTCCAACCTTTCTTGGAGACATTGGTTGACACTAAAATCGTGAAAACATTCAAAAAAAAAATGAATTAAGCGTCTCTTGAATGTATCTGTGTACCTTGTGTGCAAACGCCAGCTCCTGCAGACATCTAAATGTCTGGAATTAAATTCCAAGCTTCCAAAATTTTTGTATTAGCAAATTTAAACAAGTTCAGTTTATCAAGTGAAGTCACATCAGGATACATAATAAATTTAAGTCTTTATAAAATTCGTCGATGAGAATTTATGTCTTATGTGGATTTTCCCACCAAACAATTTGTGTTGCCGGTAATAAGAAAACGTGTCGCCCTCGGAAACAAATTTATTGCCGGTAATATTGCCATCGAATCGATTTCTTATTACCGGTCGCTCTAAAACGTCCGCCGAAGGCAACTCGCCTGGGCGAGTCGTTTTCTTATTATCTGAATGAGTCCTTTTCTTATCGCTTCAGGCGATATTTGGAATAATTTTATTCTTTTTAATACCTCATTTGTATACCAAATTGCAACTTACAATCGGAATTAATTCATTTTCTCGCTGTGAGGCTTCCTATTTTTTCAATCTTGTCCTTGGGCATAATTTAGACGCTTTTGGCCAATACTATTGACGCCATATTCATAAGTTTCGGAATTTTTGAGAACTTTTTTATTCAAAATTGACATGAACGAAGTGATGTTGCCGATTTGTCACCACAGCAATAAATCGGTGAGTCGCCAATTTGTTGCCATTGACGATTGTTGCCTATTTCTCATGTTTTGCATGGTGGGTTGTTGGTTACTGTGCAAAATGTATTTAACAAATTGTGATTCAATTTGACATTGCTCTCATAAGAACCATCCTAAATCAAATCGAAAAGAAATTTTATAAATTGTGAGTTGTTTGTTTGTATTTTTGGCATAGATCTTAAAAGAGAGCCGATCTGAGTTGTCAATCACACCTTGTTTATACACCTTGTTACTGTCTGTATTTTTGGCTCTTCTGACGTGTTTTCTTGGGTGTGAGTAGACCTTGCTTTCATCTCCAATTTAAACGAGAAACAAATTGTGTCTATTAGATAGTAAATACTACTTCTAGTAATTGGGGAACTGAGTCCTCAATTAATACCGTGCCCAAATTATTTTGTTGCGTGCCATTAATGGCACGCGTGCCTTAGACTCGCCAGCCCTGAACTACACTAGGTTTTGTTTCGGGTGATATTTTACAAAAAAGGGTGCTTTGTGAACTAGATATTTTATAACGCTGGAACATACTTTTATTAAGTTAAATTCTCCGTAATGAAGACCAAATTTTTTGTTTATTATTATTATTAAACTGAGTAGATTTTATCATTATTTGTGGAAATAACATCGACCTATTGTGCTAACCCCATAGAAGTTCGATTCAACCTTATGCCATTTATGAAATTAAACAACATTTTAGATGGTGTCATGTTCCAGATCCTGGACAGAGACGATCGCATAATACATTTGTAGCCCTGTCAGGTAGCCTGTGAAAGTTCTCAGATGCTCTCGACTAAAATTCAGAAGTCGTTCAGAGATTGCTTTTTCCCTTAGGAGCTCTACTGTGTATACTTTTCATGGAGCATAGAAATGGAGTGGATATATGGGCACCATTTGTACCCACGTTTTTCGGGAGCGTCAGCTCTTTCGTTGGCACTAAAACCCTCATGGTCCGGTACCCACCAAAAGGTGATCCTGTTATGCGTGCATAGCTGGTTCAAACAAGTTTTGCGGTTGTCCATAAGTCTAGATGTACATATGTAGTTTTGGAAAAGTTTATTGCAGCCTGACACTGGGCTCAGTATTGCCATCTTCGAGCATGCATCCAGCACATAGCAGACTCTGCAAGTGCTCTTTTCAGGAATTATTACCTATTAGGGCTTGCTGAAGCATAATTCAGTATCATTTTGTCCGTGAGTTGGACGGGATCCTCAAAGAATGCTTTTAAAGCATCAAGTGCCCTTGAAGGTCGCGACTTCTTATGCTCACTAAGTTGTCAAGCCATAAAGCACTTCCAGGATATTGCTCAATACGGAATAATCGGTTTTGTTACTGTATTCAGCAAGCTTTGAAACAGGTGAAAAAAATAAAAAATATTTTCGCATCTGGCTTAAGCTGATGTATTGAGTGATATTGAGTTAAATTGAGTTAAGCCTAGACTAACTGAGCTTTAACTCAATTTCCAATTTTTGTTTTGCGTGAGATTTTTATTCGACCATTCGCTCAGTAAAATCAAATGCAAACGCACGGAAGTCAATTTAGGGTGAAGCAGTTAAGCAAATTAGACGGAGTGCGTAAAGAAATGCCGTGCGTTTATACGAGTTTCAGGTTGGGCTGTAAAGCTTGTAGGCTTAATAACTTTACTTCTTTTAATGACATCGAACTAATATGTGGTTCATTAACAGGTTTCCTCGATAAATCGGGTTCTGCGGAATTTAGCCTCACAGAAAGAACAACAAGCACAACAACAAAATGAATCCGTGTACGAGAAGTTACGCATGTTCAATGGACAATCAGGCGGTTGGGCCTGGTATCCCGGTAATGCAACACCGGCTCATCTAGCCCTGCCACCCACACCAACAGTAACGAATTTATCCGGCCAAATAGTGCGTGATGATTTACATAAACGTGGTAAGTCACTAAAAGCCTTTTAGAGTTTGTTATGAATTTATGATCTACTGGTTCGACGTTGTGTCAGTGTCATTTTTATTTCATTTCATTTCATATTTATTTATTTAAGTCTATGGTTACAAAACCTTTCAGACTAGAGGTACAAAATGACGGGTTCGTGTTTATGTCCTTAATTTAGAAGTGATGTGAATATGTAGGTAATGTGAATTTCATCGAAGATTGAATATTACTTAGATATTCCGTGGTGTCCTTTTTGTAAAATCAGGTAAGGGGTTTATCTTTCGCAACTTTACACTTTTTTACACTACACAGAAGAAACACCAACTCGTCTATATTTGATGAATACCGCAAAAATATTTTGGAGAATTTTTTTATACGCTAGCGCATTTGTGCACAGTGTATTATAAATTTGTTCGCATAACGGTTGTTTGTAATAGCTTAAAGCAGTTCCAAGACGAATTCAATAAGGTGGTGTTAGGGCGATAGCTGAATTTTTCGCCGTGGACACCATAACGTCAAAATGATGTGCTTGTTGCAATTCTTACTACCATTATCTTATACAATGTGCGACAATTTTATGACAATTCAAACCAGCCCGGACTTTGCTAACATTTTCTGAAAGTAAAAATATCCAGTAAAAAAACACTCGACGGATTTGCACAACTTAGCTCGTATTTTTGTTTTATGGCTTACTAAAGTTTTCATGTCCTGGCCTAAGTAGTTTTCAAAAAAGTGAAAAAATTGTTAAAATATATGTCTGAGCGAAGTTAAAGGTTAAGACATATATGTATATTAAAATTTCATGAGATATATTTTCGTAGAACATTTTAACCCATTAGCTCCCGCCTTAAAAGGTTGTTTTGACCCTTACTTCAAGAAACTCCGAAAAAAGCAAATTTGGAAGTTCTTTAGAGGATTGATATATTCTAGAAAATTATTCTTCGGAAAATTTTACTGGGAGTCTTCACAAGTAAAAATTTTGTACCGCCAACGTAGATTTCTAAAAAATTTAAATAAAAAAATCTATGCCAGGAAGGAATAATAGTCAAACTAAATTCAAAAAACAAAATTTTTGAAATTTGAGTTATACCTTCTTGGCGATTTAATTTTATACATAGAGACTTTTACATTGGTGGCATGAAATTTTTGCCTGAGAAGACCCCTAGTAAAATTTTCCGAAGAATAATTTTCTAGAATATATTAATCCTCTAACAAACTTCCAAATTTGCATTTTGTGGGGTTTCTTGAAGAAAGGGTCAAAACGGCCTTTACAGATGGGAGCTAATGGGTTAAAACATTCTACGAAAATATTTCCCATGAAATTTTACTATATATTGTTGGTTGTAAGAATTATTAAGCAACATGATATATTAACCATTACTGTTTCTTCGAAATGTCATTCCCTTTGTTGGTTAGCTATGCAGACACGTAGATGTGTAACATTACATTCACTCGCAAATAAACGTTCGTAGGCTTAAGTTATAAGCTCCGTCTATTCTTTTCTCAGCAATCGCACTTCGCAAGTAAGTAAGTCCCATAACCCCCGATAGGTTATGGGCCCAGACCGCAAAAAGTTAAAATTGAAAAGAAGTACATACAAGTAAAGTTGAGAGTAATCAAAATCAAAATGAGTTTCACCGGACTATATTGGATTGATAAGCTGGAGGAGCGTCTTAGTCCACACAGACTTATGGGCAATCACCAGTGGAAAACTTGTGAAAGGCGAAAATATTACAGCCGAAGAGGCAGTAGCATTTGACACCAAGAATGAAAAGGCAGTCGCATTTGACACCAAGGATGAAAAGGCATTAGCTAGCATTATGTTATGCATAAAACCGTTACAGGTGAATCACGTAAAGCATTGTATAACGGCGTGAATGCCAAAAATCGTATGAGAAATTCGTCGTGGCAATCGAGTCTCAAGATACTTTGCCTACACTAACTGCACTAAAAGTTAAATTGCTCGAGGAGGGGGCCAGGCGCGACGGCGATAAAACCGGTATTCTAGATTTGCAGCATGCACTAGTGGCGCAAACGAATATCCAAAACATTCCTGCTAGTAACCACAAGGGAAACAACAACGACAGAAGGCGCGGGGGTAAATGTTTTAACTGCGGAAAATTCGGGCATATTGAGATAGAGATGATAAATTATTCGCTGTTCTTGCTTATATTTCTCCTTACGAGTTAAAAAGAGATGAGTGGTGCATTGATAGCGGTGCAGCTGCACACCTGTACTGTGACCGGACATTATTTGTGACATATAAAGAGCGTAAAGAGAGAATTGAATTGGCGGGAAACAAGTATATAGAAGCGAACAGAATTGGTGAAGTTAGCTTGCAAACTGAGAGCAGTAGAGTTAAACTACATAACGTTTTGCATGTACCCGACTTGAAGTGCAATTTCGTGTCGGTAAGCAAAGCATGTGATCACGGATTAGACGTAAATTTTGAGAATAATCAAGCGGTGATAAAAGACGAGCAGGGAGCAGTATTGATAAGAGCGCATCAAGTTGGTGGCTTGTTTGTGTATAAGAGAAAAACGTACAAATGTTTTGGTGCGATACAAGAGAACGAAATTACGATTTAGCATAACCGATTCGGCCACTTAAACTTTGATAGTTTATGTGAAATGTCAAATAAACAACTCGTACACTGCCTAAAGTTTACAAATAATGTAAATAAAAGTGATTGCGTAACATGTGCAAAGAGCAATATTTGTGTTAAGCCTTTTGCCCAAACATCGAGAAGTCGTGCAAGAACCTTACTCGAACTGATGCACTATGATTTGTGTGGCCCTATGAATAAGAATTCAATTGACGGCTCCAGGTATTTTCTCACGGTCATCGACGACAAATCCCGGTATATATTTGTGTACTTTTTAAAGGCAAAAAGTGAGGTGTTCGCTGCGTTAAAGTCATTTAAACAAATGGTAGAAAAACAGAGTGATAGGAAAATCAAAATGTAGAGAAACAATAATGGCCGTGAATACCTGAACGAAGAGTTTGAAAAGCTTTTAGTTGATAATGGTATACAACGCCAGTTGACAGCCCCGTACACACCTCAACAAAACGGCGTGGCCAAACGAGCTAATCGAACCTTCGTTGAGATGGCACGCAGCATGTTGGCGCATAGTATGTTGGACGAAGATTTTTGGGCAGAGGCGGTGTCGACGGCAGTTTACCTCCGGAACAGAGCAGCAACAAAAGCGCTGGCTAATAAAACGCCGTACGAAGTTTATACGGGTAAAGAGCCTACAGTAACGCATCTTAACCCAAACAGGCGAAGGTGATTACTAGTAGAGATGTAATTTTCATGGAAAATGTATACCTTGGTCACGAACGCGAACAAATCGATATCACATCATTTGGAAATGAAGTTGTTAGCCCAGATGTTAACGAGCAAAATGCTGAGCGTGAATCGGCGCTAAACGTTGCGGAGGAGTCCGGAGGCGAAGTTAAAGGTGAAGGTAATGATGAAGACAACGATTGTGCAGGTGAAGTGCGGTACGGTCCGGGCAGACCAAAATTAGTACGCAGCGGAAGCCGTGGTCGTCCTCGGAATGAACGGCGCATACAGTACCAAAGTCCGTAAGCTAGGCGTTGAAGAGCGAGCATGCAGCAGAGTGGAGGGCCTCCATGAAGGAGGAGTATGATGCCCTAGTTAAGAATGAAACTTGGTCGTTGATGAACGTCCCTCCTGGTGAAAATGTCATAAGCAACAAGTGGGTCTACAACGTAAAGAAAAACGCAGATGGCAGTGTTCAACGCTTTAAGAGTCGTTTGGTGGGAAAGGGGTGCAGTCAGCGCTTTGTAGTGAACTGCACTGAAATGTTTTTACCGGTGTTAAGGTTTGCGGCGGTTCGTTGTGAGCATGAGTTGCATTGGCACCAAATGGACATATCTTTAGCATTCCTAAATAGCGGTTTATACGAAGCCATTTATATGACACAGACTGAGGGGTTTGTTTGCGAAGAGTTTCCACACCGAGTATTGAAGCTGAATAAGGCGCTATATAGATTAAAACAAAGCGGGCGCGAATGGAATTCAAAGTTGGACACTGTTTTGAAGTCATTTGGGTATTCGTCATGCGTCAGCGAGCCTTGCGTATGTACGAAGCACGAGAACGGTAACTATAGCATAATAGCTGTATATGAAGACGACTTAGGCGCGGTTAGAGGACGTAGCTGCGATTAAAGGAAAAATCGCAGACGAATTCGATTTGGTTAAAGGTGGAAAATTACGATATATTCTGGGATTGGAGATCCAGCGTGAAGGGGAAACGGGCGCAATTACACTTGGCCAAAGAAAATACATTGCTTATCTATTGAGCCAGTATGGTATGTCTGACTGTAGTTACGCCGTTAAATGCCGGATTCCAAGTAAGCTGTGATGACGCAAAGTGCAGACGTGTGGATAAAAGGGAGTATCAGTCGCTGATCGGGGAATTGATGTATTTAGCTACCTCTACCCGACCGGATATTCTACATTCGGTTTGTAAACTTTCGCGAAAGAACAGCGATCAGGACCTTTTACATATAAATTAATTAAAAAGGGACTTTTTTTGATTTTTTCGATATAAAGCATTCTAGAACGCGCTAAATCAGTTGCGACGCTCCGTCGCGACACGTCTGCACCGTTCGCTTGCACGAATTAGAAGATTATACAGTGACAACAAATTTTTACAAAATTTGCATTTAAACTCGCTAAATATCAGACGTTATATATATGTCAGATTTATCAGATTTCTGTGTAAAAAGACCTGGGGCCTGTAACAGCGCTGCAAGTCCTACAATAGTTCAAATAAATTAAACAAGTGTAGATATTTTGTAACACATAGCAACTTGTAGTTACATGTGGCGCACTTGTAATTACTGAACTTTTTGTACAATTGTGTCTGTTTCTGTAACACAACGAACACAGTTGTGTTACGGATTTTTCTACAATTGTAAACAATTTTCTACCTGTCTCGAAAGCTGAGTAGATTCAGTTTAGTGTAGTAT